GTACATGTAACACGTGTAACAAGGACACCTTAAAATAAAGTGTAAATTTTTTGTAATTTGGTATATTAACAATATTTCAGTTGATGAAATATATATATGTTTTGTTTGTTTGTTTTTTCAGTGTAAAACAGCTCGTCATTGGTGCAGCACCCTCAAAAGGAAGACTATGTACCTTATCTACTCCTAAAAGGTGCATATTAGTACACTGGAGTATGAATATGCACCCTATGAACCTTTATATGAAACTGCATTAAATACTCCTCCCAGACCCAATGATTACAAATGATCGTACCAGATGTCCACTTTCTCAGACACGGGCTCGTTCCGAATCACCTCGGGCGCCATCCAGGCCACAGTGCCTGCAAACGACATCTTGGTGCTCTTGTCTCTGAGCTCCTTAGACGTGCCGAAGTCTGAGATCTTCACCAGGTCGTCATGTGTGATCAGCATACTGACAGAGAGAAGATACGTGTGTAAGGCACACTTTCAGTTTGCTCACGCTTCCAGACACAGTTGTGTGGATTGGTACAAAGCTCATCATACTTGGGTGATTTGAGATCTCTGTGGATGATCTTGTGCAGGTGGAGGTAGTTCATGCCGCCTGCGATGCCCATGGCCCAGTCCACCAGCAGGGACGGCGTGATCTTCCTGCCGGCCCTCAGCACCTCGTAGAGCTGGCCCTGCGCGCAGTACTCCATGATGAGGCAGTAACACGGAGCCTGCGTGCACACGCCCCTGAAACACACACACACACACACACACACACACACACTGTGTGACACTCACTGACATTCAGTGTCAATATCAAGTCAAAAATGTTGCCACAGCCTGACACTGGATTGTTTGATATGATATGGATATGAAGAGCAGAGAATACTGGAACAACTACACGTCAAAAAAATCAAATGTCATAAATCAAATACAATATATAAATATACATACAAAGTTCACAAAGTGAAAGAGGTTAGCATGAGCTGCTGTTGTTTTATTGCAGCCTTTTAAACTGAATTTGGATTCTCAGAAGCAGAGTTGGAAATTGCTGGGGCTTGTTGGCAAAAATGCCACCAAAATTAATAATAATGCCACCAAATTATTATTATAACATAAGATATAGTTAATGATAATCATATGAGCAAGAGTGCTGTTTTCTCTGAATATCCACACAATTGCAAATGTGATATTGATTTTATACAACAGTTCAATAAACGACAATATTAAGTGACTTTTTCGGCACAATATTGTGCACTTTTGCTCCATTTCCTTTACAAACATAGTTCTAAACAAAGTCACAGCTGAGCCGCTGATCGTCTCCGAGCAAAACACAGCAGTGCTTCATGATATAAATTTAAGAATTTGACATAAAGATGACACATTTAATAAGGTTGATTAAAATGCCATTACAATGGAAATAAATAAGTAAATGAATGAATGAATGAATGCATGCATGCCCCTGGAGTTAAATATTGCCATGT